CAGGCAAAACAGTGCACTTCTCTTTCCCGGACTACTGTGACAGACCATGGGGCTGGGTCAGCCACTAACATATTCATATTTCTCTTCTCAAAAAGAGAAATATGAACGTTAGTTTTTAAATGAAATGATCAAATAAAGTCAAAATGTCACAGTGTTTACAAACATTGACCATACCGTTCACCAGCCCCCACCCCCCTATGTTGAGTCGACTCTTTGTTTAAAACTAATTGGCCATTGAAATGTGTGTGTCCCAACCCCCCCCTGTGATATCTCTTCTCCAGCAGTCTGTAGGTTTGTGTTCGCATATTTATGCTGTCGCAGTTCCTGTTGTTTCTATCGCGCATTGCCGGTATGAAAGGGTCTGTGCCGGAAATATCAAGATAACACGGCAGGGTCCGTTACAGTTTGTTTTCATCTGATTTCAAATAAACAAAGTCTTGGCTTTCAGAATATTAAACTTGTTTCGGCAAATTTAGATGATAAATACAACTATGAAGCTTGTAACGGCATAATTACTTAAGCGGAGAATGGAGTAATTTAACGTTACAGCAGGCATAACAACAGCCGGTGTTTATTTTATCATTATATATAGTCGTTATTCATTTGTTTTAAAGCTCAATAAGGAAGATTTAAACTTTCACACACGTTGACCGGCGGAAAACTCTGCCCGGTTCCCTCGGCCCCCACCACGTTGAATAAACAGAAGGCTGCTTTTGTGGAGGAAGTTACAGCGCTACGTACAGGCTCGGCATATGCACTGCAGCTTTTTCCAGCGGTATCCATAAATCTCTTAATTTTGACCTCAAAGTGCACCAGATTGATGCATTTAACTTCAATATAAAGAAAAACATCTTCTGTTGTAACAACAATAACATTATAAATAGTAACATAGCTGAACATGGTATTGCACATTTAGCTTTCAGTGTTACTGACCTGAGATGTTTTTATTACATGAATTAAGGTGACTGAGGCTTTTTAACATAGACTTTTCCAATGTCTGAGTGTAATATCTGCATTTTCTATTTTGGTTTGATAAGAGCCGCGTTCACACCAAATACTTTCCTGTACTTAGTTCCGGCACTAAGAGCCCCGGCGCTTTTAACCCCAGGGCACTTAGTACAGATCGCGTTCACACCGGAGTACTTTTCCCTGAGGGAAGATTACGCAAATGAGCCGCTGACGTCACTTCTTCTTCTTCTGTTTTGGCTTTACTGGCAGGCCACAAACCACTTCACGGCGAGTACAGTAGGTGGCGGTATGCACCTTAAAGTTGTTTGCAATCCGCTGCAAAACAAGAGAAGAAGAAGAAAAACTTCCCGCGTATACTGCGACGCCCACCCACTCGCTGTACATTAGGCGTCTGTTGTTTACCTTCCGACCTCAGACATGATGGAGATGGAGTCGACTGAAGTTGTGCTGTTTGTGCTCATGTTATACAGCTTTGTAACTGAGTTAATGCAGCCTGAGCAACTTGCGTACAATCACAAAACAAGCCGATCACGAGTGGTGGTGGAGAACGCTTTTGGCAGACTGAAGGGCAGGTGGCGGTGCTTGATGAAAAGAAACTACTGCAAGATGGACAAGATCAAAACCCAGGTGGCAGCATGTTGCATATTACATAACCTTTGTGAAAGTAATGAGTACAGGGACGAATGGACTGCCTTACCGGCGACCCAGCTTTATGAGGCATCTGAACAGCGTGTAAATTGTAAACATTTTGACAATAAAGAAGATCTTTTGTACAGTGATTTTGTTTCCCTTTTATTTTCCAGTCAAGACAGGCAACATTACAATAGGGTACAGTGTGGCAATATAATAACAATAAACTGTGCCAGGTGTGTTGTATGCACAGTAAATAAGCTCAGCAGCAAACCCACCGTTATTATTTATCTTCCTGAGACCCACTGCATTTGTCTGCCATAAACATACATGTTAGTTTCGGCCCATAGTGGACTCCATTTTGTGTTGTGTAAAATGGAGGGGGGAATTAAAAGTTTGCAAATCCCCATGTCCTCCTCAGAGGACAATCATAAAAACATTTAGTTTTAGGTCAAATAATATTTAAAATTATATAAATTATCATATTTGTGTATGTGCCGCTGCCATTCCTCCACAAGGTTGCAACATTGATGATAAATGACAAATAAAGCTTTGCCAGTTTATAACCGATGAAACATGATGGTATCAGAATAATCACTTACATGTGATGTATAGGATGCTACGGTCACTAAAGATAAAGTGTCAGGAGAAATAAGCAAGATACAGGATCTGTTTAACAGTAAATAGAAGTTCACATTTTTAATGTAAATAAAATAGAAGTTGTACATGTAAATTAACATTATCAATATAAAATAAAGTGTCAGTTGTATCAAGACTATATAATAACAGTAATAACAATAATATAAAATGAACTGGTGAGCATCTTGTCCTCCGTTTCCTGGGCCTTGGTGAACAGCACCATCTGATCCCCGTGCATCGACTCTTTCACCACGGCACGCCGGTCCTCCAACGCCTGGGCGGTGTCAAAGAAATTAGCATCCCGTGTCCGCTTTCCTAAGAGGGGAAAATAAGCAATATACAAGATCTGTTTAGTCGCCATGTAGTTTTACAACATACTAGGAATGTGTTTTTTGTATTTTCACAAATAGAATTAAGGTTTCACAAATCTGAAACTGTGTTATAAAGAATGTTTAGCCTCTCTGGGATAATCCAGTCCAGATTTGATGAGTCTAGGTATAGTGGTTTTAGATCAGGACCTGGTCTAATGTGGCCAGGATGCGAAAAAGCACTGAAATCTCCCTTTTTTGTATTTTCACAAATAGAATTAAGGTTTCACAAATCTCAAACTGTGTTATAAAGAATGTTTAGCCTCTCTGGGATAATCCAGTCCAAATAAATCGGCTATGCAGCGATTTAAGAGGTTCAAACACGGAGGATTGTGCTTCATGTATGCTTGAATTTTGTTTAATTTGTTGAGGCAAGTTTTCGTACCGGAAGTCATGTGACCTCTAGCCCTGATGTTTACAATGTTTGTGTGAGACATTTGTAAATGCCGGTCTTGGCGAATACGTTTTCACGCTGTTTCATAATTGTACCAAGAAGGAAATAAACATGATTGTGAACATCAGTTCGATGCGTAACGTTCTGTGTGTGTACCTTTGCGTTTGGTTGCTGGTAAGGGGGGCGAGCTAGCGCTGTAATCTAGAATGCAAAGCTCGCTTGTTTCCAATCACGAGAGTTGTCCATCCTCGCCTGAAACAGACGATTAGTGCCATGAGTTAGTGAAGCAAATTACAGAAACACTACACAGTTATTCACAAGTCAAAACGTTTTCATACAGCCGAGAATATCTAGCTAGCTAGATGTAGCTAGCTCGGGGCCGGTGTTAGCCTATTCCGCCTAGTATGGCTAGCTTGATCTACTGAGCAAATAAAAGTACATCTGAGACCATTATTGTGCAGATTAAAACCCCAGTGCATGTAGTTGATTTTACCTTCGTCGTGGTCGTCATCGTTGGCCACTGAATCCGCCGTTTGTAGTCCTGCCCGAGTTTCTTTATTTTTAGCCGGTGTGCCGTGGGGCTGTGCACATTCCCAGGTCGAGTGAAAGCCACTGAACTGGCTTCAGTGCATTCCCTGGGTCGCGTCCTCGGCGTAGATCTCCAGAAGCGCCGACACCTCCTCATCATTTCTTGATGCTTGCCATAACTGCTTTCAAAAACAAACCCAACGCTCCGTCGGGATTTTGTAGCGAGGCAAAACAATGGCGGCTCTACACAACATTTCCACAGTTCTACGTGGCGTGGTTTGCAATTCGCCCAGCCAATCAGCACTGGGGCACTTTTGGAGCACTTTTCACCCACAGAAAAGTACGCTCTCTGAGCTGGCTCTAAAAATGGGGGTAAAAGTACCCGAGATTAAGTACGATTTTTGGTGTGAACGCGACAACTAAAACGCGAAAAGTACGGTGAAAGTACTCCGGTGTGAACGCGGCTAAGGACATATCCTGGGGATTGTGTTTACAAACATTGACCATACCGTTCACCATCCCCCACCCCCCTACTGTATGTTGATTTTGTTTGCCTACATGTAAATGGGTGGCATTTAGTACCTACCCCCCTCTGAGTGAATACCTGTTGTACCTGTCCGGGGCTAAGCCCATAGGACGATGCTCTGATGTCAACCCCCCCGTTGACAATTCACGAGCGTCTAACTCTCTCCCCCCCTCCCCCGTCGCACCTTCTAACAGAGCCCCCCCACATATCAAATCCCAATTTAACCCAGAATTTAAGCAGAATTTCTGTATTTCTACTCACATTGTCTGAATAAATATATTGAACAACTAAGGGTTAATTTGCAGGATTGATTGCTTACTTAGCCCTATATCAGTATATAGCATGAATAATAATCACACATCACTCATATTTGTTATGAATAATCATTTATTAAATAGTAAGTCGCTTTGGATAAAAGCGGCAGCTAAATGCAATTTATGAAAGCCTCACTCAGGATTTTTTTACCAAGTGTTTTTATTGCTCTTGGGGCATTAAAAACAAGATTTTAACGTTAGTTTTTATATAATATCTGCATTTTCTCTTGTGAAAAACTAAGTCTTAGTTTGGCCATAGTTATTTAATATATAAAGACTATATATTATTGAATTACAAGATTAGATATACTTCATTTGATCTAAAATATTGATGTGTTCAAATGCTCTTCTAAACAAAACTGAAAGTCCATGAAAAGTTGTCTTCCTGTTTTTGTGAAGGAAGCGCCATCTCCTGGTTAAATCCTGAAATTGAAAATCTGGCAACGCCCTCTTGGAAAATAGTGGGAGGGCTTAACATTCCCAGATACTGGTCTTTGGCAGGTCTTAGGCAGGTAACTGGCTGGTAGTAGGCAGGAAGCAGTAAGCTGGAGTCTGAAATAAGATGCTCCATCTGTATTGCAGCCAATAACAGTGAGAGGAGCATTTGCTATAGTTATTTGGACTGCTAGCAACTCAAATTGCCTTGGAATTGAAATTGAGTGAAGGACAGAGCACTGTAGTTTCTCAGCAGTGTATATTGCAACACCACCAGCTCTGCCCTTATGATCAGCTCTGAATACATTATATCCATCAATCTGAATAACAGTGTCAGTGACAGACGGTTTTATCCAGGTTTCAGAAACTACAACAATATCAGGCTTAGCAACTCAAAACCAGGTCTTGAACACATCTAATTTGGGCACTAGGCTTCTAGCACTAACATGCAGAAAACCCAATCCTTGCCAACAGCTAAACTCATTCGGAGTTGGCAAATGCTGCAAGGAAGCAGAGAAACACTCAGGACCAGGGTTAATGTTAACGTTACCAGAGAGTAATAGCAGTAACAATATTAACAGCCTGGAAGATGATTTTTGATGGGCTCTGTCTGGATGCATCACTCCTCAGAGGGGCGGGGCTGCTCCGATCATTCGATATTAGCGAGTCCAGAGTCATAAGGGCATACGGGAGAACGCATTTCGTGCCATAAAACGTCAGCTTTTGGTAAACACTATCCGATGGAGTCAGCGCTCCAGAGGTTCCACCATCCGAATGTCCGAAGTGAACAGAGACATCGCTGGGAGGCAATCCGTCAGCTTTGCCGACATGCGGGCTGACAATTAATCCCAGAAGAAGAGCGAACACGAGGGTAGCTTTAGGCGACATTGTGCTGCAACACACCCAATTCAGGAACAGCAGCTCAGGTGGATCAGCCCCCGACAGCACGGCAGGACAGACAGCCATTCAGAGTCCGAAAGAGCCACAGCTCAGGCAGAGAGCAAACAATCCAGTCACAGCGAGGCACCGGCACAAAAACTTTTAAAAGTGCAGCAGACCAATTAAGAAAAACGGGTCTAAAAAGCTAAATAAAAATGATAAAATGTCAGTATGCACAAGAGGTAGTCAATGCCAAAAAAACGAGAATGAGACAAACACTAACAGAGACAGAGACAAATCAACGTGCTGCCATCTTGGAACACACGTACAGCTCTCCTGAAGGGGGGATCATCACTGGGAACCAGTCCTCAAACCTTCATCCTGCTCATCTACTTCTTCTTCTTCTTCATCACCTGTGGGATCAAAAACATGTGATTAAACCAGAGATCACAGTGAAACATGTTTTAATACAATATGTTCATTTAGTGAAAGCTAAAGTCAAGTGTGTCTTTGTGACGGATACATGTGAAAACCCGTGTATATAGAAAATGAACACACCATGTGTTATGGCAAAAGTAAAACCCAACCAGCCAGTGTAAGTCAACAAACCCTTATTCCACAAAATACAATTACTTTTATTGACCTTTTCAGACTTCCACGAAGGTTGTCATCATTTACAGACGCACGAAAAACTGAAAACGGGTACTGAAATGTTAATGATCATGAAGTGTTGCGTCATTGTCAGATCAATCAGATCCCTGATTAGAGATTTCAAACATAATCCATCTCTCGTAGTCGATAAGGAAAAAAATAAATAACACTCAAACTAGGGACAGAAATCGAATCAAAAGTTTACGTCAGCATCTCCACTACGTGCTGCTCTTTGATTATCAGCAGAGTATAGCCGCTTTCACACCAAGTACTTTGCCGTACTTAGTGTCGGCACTCAGTGCCCTGGCACTTAGTGCCCCAGGGCACTGAGTGCCAATCGCGTTCACACCGGAATAAGTTCCTGAGGGAAGATTACGCAAATGAGCCGCTGACATCACTTCGTCTTCTTCTGCTTTGGGTTTACTGGCAGGCCGCAAACCACTTCACGGCGTATACTGCCCACCCGGAGTCCCCGGCCGGAAGTCCCCGGAGTTGGGGAAGGTTTCAGTAGAAGCTGCTGGGACTCCCAGCAGCTTCTACTGAAGCCTTCAGAGTAAATCACCAGAACGTCGGCACCTCCTCATCTCCACCGCTCCCATGTTTTCTTTTGTGTTGCCATAAGTTAGTCTCTCTGCGTTGGTGCGCGGGGCTAATGCTAATGCTAATAATGCTAATGCCAGTAAATACAATGGCGGCTTCACAAAACTTTTCAGAGTTTTACGGGGTGTGGTTTGCAATCCGCCCAGCCAATATAAATTGGTACTTTTTAGGTACCACCTCTCTAGCAGGCACTAACAATGGGGGTAAAAGTTCCCGGCACTAAGTACTCTTTTTGGTGTGAACGCAACATAAGGGGTACTAACGGAACTAAACGGGAAAAGTACGGGGAAAAGTACTCCGGTGTGAACGCGCCTAATGATTCTTTGTCATGCCTGCAGCCTCATGTGCAACCTGCACTCAATGTAAGCAGATTGCCCAGCCATGTGCGCTACACAAGCTACTACAAGAGGCCTGCTGGCAGGGGGAGATCAAGTGCAGAGAGAAAAACTCCACAGGATACTTCAAAAACATAATATGTGCCCTGTAAAACCCTGAATGGATTTGTCTGTGTGAGTGTTTACCTTGCGAGCACTAGCCGGTCCAGGAGACTTTGCAGACCTGCTGGTGGCTTTGGGTCCTTTGGGGGCTTTGGGTGCTTTAGTGGCTTTGGGTGCTTTGGGGGCTTTGGAGGCTTTGGGTGCTTTGGTGGCTGTCGGTGCTTTGGGGGCTGTCGGTGCTTTAGTGGCTTTGGGTGCTTTGGGGGCTTTGGGGGCTTTGGGTGCTTTGGGAGCTGTCGGTGCTTTGGGGGCTGTCGGTGCTATGGGAGCTGTCGGTGCTATGGGAGCTGTCGGTGCTTTGGGGGCTGTCGGTCCTATGGGAGCTGTCGGTGCTTTGGGGGCTGTCGGTGCTTTGGGGGCTGTCGGTGCTTTGGGGGCTGTCGGTGCTATGGGAGCTGTCGGTGCTATGGGAGCTGTCGGTGCTATGGGAGCTGTCGGTGCTTTGGGGGCTGTCGGTGCTATGGGAGCTGTCGGTGCTTTTTGGGGCTGTCGGTGCTTTGGGGGCTGTCGGTGCTTTGGGGGCTGTCGGTGCTTTTGGGAGCTGTCGGTGCTTTGGGGGCTGTCGGTGCTATGGGAGCTGTCGGTGCTTTGGGGGCTGTCGGTGCTATGGGAGCTGTCGGTGCTTTGGGGGCTGTCGGTGCTTTGGGGGCTGTCGGTGCTATTGGAGCTGTCGGTGCTTTGGGGGCTGTCGGTGCTTTGGGGGCTGTCGGTGCTATGGGAGCTGTCGGTGCTTTTTGGGGCTGTCGGTGCTTTGGGGGCTGTCGGTGCTTTGGGGGCTGTCGGTGCTTTTGGGAGCTGTCGGTGCTTTGGGGGCTGTCGGTGCTATGGGAGCTGTCGGTGCTTTGGGGGCTGTCGGTGCTATGGGAGCTGTCGGTGCTTTGGGGGCTGTCGGTGCTTTGGGGGCTGTCGGTGCTATTGGAGCTGTCGGTGCTTTGGGGGCTGTCGGTGCTTTGGGGGCTGTCGGTGCTTTGGGGGCTGTCGGTGCTTTGGGGGCTGTCGGGCTGCTCGGCTGGGAAAATACAAATAAATACAAAATGAACACTCTAAGCATCTTTTATCCAAAACTGTAGTAATAACATTTCAGAATTGGGCAATATTTTCGAAACACACCCCCCCAAGGATTAGATCAGCACCTTGTTTGGTACCTGAGGGCAGGGAGGTTAACTAGTTTGAATCTAACCCTAACAGTATTACAATGCTACTATTCTAGATGTTAATACAGGATAATAATTACAAAGGCTAACTAAAAACCCTGACGCATGCATTTTAACATTAAGTGTGCTTTTTCAATATTAGCTTATCTCACCTCCTCTCCGCTTTCTGGCTGATCTGCGGGAATAAGAGGGAAACAGAAGGACACTTTACAAACGTAACATTTGTCAACCTCACAGTAACACACATTTGGCATGCGTATTAGTCATTTGTATGTTAACGTACCGATGTTTTCAACTGAAGAAGCCTGAACCGGGTGGTTTCCCTTCTCCAGTATGTTCTTCAGCTCAGGGTAAGTCTCATGGATGTCCTTATCAGTTTGCAGGAGGTTCAGGAAGGCTTGGCATCTGTCCTCTCCTTTGTCCATGATCGTATCCACCAACGCCACAACGCGGTCCTCTGCATCTAGTTTGTCGATGCTTCTTAGTTTTTTGTACTCGCGTGCAGTTATCAACTTGTTCTCATCAACTTTGTTGAGGATTAGCGTGTGGTCTGCACACAAAGTGGCCACAATGGATGTCTTATTACTTCTCAAAATGTCGTAGGCTGCCATGCTGAATCGGACAGGGAGAAAAACAACACGCATAGTAAATATATTGGTCTATTTTTTTTCATCATAATCTGGCACTAAAAATAAAAAATAATTTTTTAATTTACTCACGAGTTAAAAGCAACAATAAAAGCAGCAACACCCTTCAGAATGAATCCATATCGCTTTAAAATGTAGTTTAACTCTCTAGATTGAATCCATGCTAACCTGCTATCAGCTAACTTTCAGAACTACTTCCTACGATAATGGCATTAAGTGACGTTGCTAAAGTTAGCCACTTTATCAAAGTCGACCACGTGTTTCAGAGCATTGCTATCTCTGTCCTGCCGAGCCACCGGGCTCCATTCAGGCCAGACCGAACAAAACCACACAATGTACCAAACTCCACCCAAATATCTGAGTATTTAAGGAAAACGTGGGTATAATGACAAATAAACTTTGATTTAAAACAATAATAATTCATAATAAGCTGTTGTGGTTAATGCTGGTGAGTTCGGCATATATTCCATCCACTATTAAGCCCTGTATTTAGCATACATCGCCTCATAAACTAACAGACAACCTGTGTGGCGCGCTCAACCTCCATGTGTCTCACAAGCACACAGGTACCAAACTCCACTCAACTTACTGTATATTTAACAAAAACGTGGGTATTTATCAAGATATGTGTTGATTTCAGACAGGTTAGTTCATAATAAGCTGTCTTGGTTACTTCTGATGAATTCGACATATCCATATCCACTATTAAACATGTATTTTGAATAAATTGCTAAATAAACGTCCCTCTAAAGAGGCGGGAAAACAGCAGTAGTGGGAATACAAGTTGTATAAATATGAATATACTAACAGGTATGTGTGATGTGTGTACACCGAGTAAAAGGTGTGATCCCGTAGATTCCTGTACTCATGCTATTGAGTGTGTGTTTTCATGTAAACATCTACAGAATCATATAATGCATGTTTTTCCAATGAGGTCTGGTTTAAAGCACCGTTAACCCTCCTGTTGTGTTCGGGTCAAATCTGACCGATTTACTACTTTCATCAATACTCACTTTTTAGTTTTACATTCGACTGCATTAAGGCTTCGTGATATCCTTCACAGAGACATTTGAACATAGAAATAGCTGATCACCACTTTCATTGCATTTTGGATGATTTTTGGACTTTGTAACCGCCATAAAGAAAAGTAATTAGTAACCATCCGAATCAGATAACACACACACACTTCCTGCTCTTATGTGCCCATCCCCCCCATGGATCACACACAAACATACAAACACACACAAAGCACACACACAGTGGCGATTCTAGAGTCTGTGGGGGCCCTCGAACCAGCTTTTCATCACCATGCACTGCCGACAGTACCCCCCCTCCCCCGGAGCTGAGCAAGGCAACGAAGAACGAAACTAAAGATAAGAAGCAGCATTTTACGGCGCTATGCACGGGGCCGCCTTGAGGGGGTTTCATGTTGTCGTTGCTGTGGACCTTCTTAATCTACCTTCTTTGGGGCCCCCTTCTGGTCCGGGGCCCCAAGCAGTTGCCTGCCTTTCTGTTCGCAAGGTGCGCCCACGCACGCACGCCCACACACACACACACACACACACACACACACACACACACACACACACACACACACACACACACACACACACACACACACACACACACACACACGCACGCCCACACACACGCACGCCCACACGCACGCCCCACACACACACACACACACACACACACACACACACAGAAAACTATTTGATACATTTCCTGCTCTTATGTGCCCATCCCCCACATGGATCACACCTGGCACACGCAAGACATGTCCAGTGTCTGTTCTTTGTATATTTACTGCAGTTTTTCATGTATACCAGTAGTCTGATACAATAGTTACAGTTTGAAAGGGTGTTAAATGAAATTTGGTGCTGATTAATGGTTTTTGTGTTAATGTAATAGCAGTTAAAACAGGATCGGTCAAATTTGACCGCGAACACCAAAGTAAGGGGAAAACGAAGACAACAGGACCATTAAAGAGCAAGCTTACCTGCAAGTCAAACCTGGACCGGGCTCCTCTGGGGGTTTGTATCCGAGAATAGGAGCTGTTTTTCGGCTGCAAGAGTGTGTGTCTTCCGCTCCTCTGTTCGGAGATGTGACTCCTTTAAAACTTGACTTTGAATTAAAAGCAGATTCAACCTGCAGAAAGGGGCGGGGCTAGCCCTGAGCTGTGACTGACAGGAGGGGGTGGGGCCTGAGCTGTGACTGACAGGAGGGGGCGGGGCCTGAGCTGTGACTGACAGGAGGGGTCGGGGCCTGCCCTCAGTGGTGACTGACAGGCAGGACTCAGTACTACACTACACATGTATAAATAATTAATGAATTAGTCCAGGTGATGTGTTCGATGTCTTAAGATATATCAGTTCATAATCAATATTAG